CCAGATATTTGGATATGTCTCTGATTTTAGAATTAGGTTGAATATGGAAGCCAGCGGTTTCGCTAGTATATGATGGCAATCTTTAACGAAAAAACTTGGAATACCATCACATCCAGACGTCATTTTGTTCTTTAATCTTTTCGAAGCCCTAATTACGTTTTCTTCACTTATATTTTTTAAAGAAATGATATCGGTAGAATTATTTGTTGGAGGAGATGACCCTAGTAGACCAGACGGGATAAAAACTGTTGAAAAGAAGGTAGCAAAACTGTCCACTATATCCTGAGGCGTATCGCAGACATTGCCGTTAAGCATCATCCTTGTGGGGATTCTAGATTGCTGTTGGTGTAAGCAGCATAAGCAATTTCTATTTGAGCCTTGATGTTACTACGTAGCTGCTTGAATTTATTTTCGAAATGAATGAGTCCTGTTTGCTTAAAACAGTTTCTGGCCCTATCCTTCTGTTTTATATTAGTTATTATTCAAGTGTGAACCATAAAGGGTAACGACGCTGTGCTTGCTTAAACCTTGGAATAAACAAATCAAAAAGTTCATTCTATATTGAATATAAGTATGAGCAAGCATTCTCTACAAAATTCATTTCTTTGAGGTGTGACCAATCAATATTCAAAACAGCATTATACAAGGCTACATAATTAGCACGACGGAAGTTATATCTAGAGTCGGTCTTCAAATTATTTTGAAACGCTATTCTAGACACTTCCTTTATGGTATCCAAATCCATGCTATAAGATACATTCCTGCTTAGAAATTGACGCCCATGATCAGAGATATAACGGTACACTACGGCGAAGTTATTAGTATGGTCGCAAAACGTGGACCATTTCTTATCACGGTGTTGTGGCCTAGCATTTGCATACAGCGGGTCCGCGCGCCATTGTGGAACTATAACATGTTCATTATGACCATGTTCAGTTCCGCCGCGTGTCCAGAGCGTAAAATATTTTATTGTGAACGCCATACCATGTCCTGGCTTTCTTCGGTGGCACAATGGGTGCTTCAGATATGACGCGCATTGTATTTAAACCGGAGCGCAACGCCGAGAACAAAAATCAGAGCAATGCGTTGCGTTTATTCTTCGATTGAGTCTCTGAAATTTTAAAAAACGCCTCTGCCACTGGACTTATTTTCAGAAACCACGACGCTTTATAAAATTCGAGTTCTAGGGGGCTCACGGATCAGCGGACAGGTAGACAGACATAGTTTTCGGTGGTCTATGTGTCGTATAACATCAAAAAAACATATCTTAATAATTTCTAAATTCCTCGCGATTACAATACTTCCTCGTCAGTTCGCATGGAAACTAAAACCCGAAAAATTATTGCGCAAGAAAACGCTTTTGACTAACTCCATGTTTGAACCTGAAAGACATAGGTACTTGAAGACACATTTGATACAAGATAACTGCATCGATCGAAAGGTTACATGTTTGCAAATATTTTCAATCAGTGGGGTGCTTTTTGCACTATAGAATCCCAGAAATACTTTGCAGATAGGTGCCTGACTCTTTCTGGAAAGCCAATTCTGGAAAACGAGGGAGTAGAATGTGATTCTATCACTTGTCCAACTGCATCGCGTTAGAGTAAAATTTCAGGACTTCCAGGCATTACTTCTCTTCTGAAAGACAAAACGGACACTGAATAGCGTTTATATATACTTTCAACGCCTGTGTACCCGCTAAGTTGGGTAGCGGTCGCATTTGCTAGTGAGAAATGTTAAGTAGAAATGAGACTGACTTTACTTAAATCCTGATTGCTCCTTTTTATATACAGGGTGGCCCAATCATGTGTAAACGGAATATTACTCATAAATATTATGAGAAAATCTATTTATGGGATGTTATACATGACATTTGAGGGCACATTTCTAAAATATTGGCCATTATACAGGGTGTCCCAATTTTGACCTACATATCAAAGTTGTGATTTTTCAAATGGAATGCCTCAAATTTTATTGCATCTTTGGATAAACCAATTCAAAAGAAGAAAATTGATATGACATACTATGGGGTTTTGATAATTAGCTACTGAGATATAAGGTGTTTCGTCTAGAAAATCCCCCACTTCGGCAACCTCTCAGTCTGCCATCTTAAAATTTGAAGTGCTGAATTTTGTATCAAAAAAATTTCCACACGTCAACTTTTATCTTATTTATTACTTTTTCGAATTTTAATTTTTGCTCATACAGGGTGGTCAAAAACGCAAATTGTAGTTTTTCTCAAAAATTTCAAATACATCACCCTGTATACTTGAGCAAGTTTGGATTCAATTTTTTATGAACTTTTTGTTGATACTAGACACATAAGGGTTTTATGGCTATTTTTATTATTTAATAAATTGTTGATTAGTTACAAACTGTCAAAATTACCTTTGTGGGCATTATGATAAAAACGTGTTAAAAAAGAAATGGTAAATATGGTGTTCGTTTTGGGCGAATCCGAAAGAAATAGTTTCCTAGCATCTCGCATTTGTAAGCAACGGTACTCTAATATTCGACATCCAAGGCCGGAAACATTTTCTATACTGCGAGAACGTTTTGAATCAAGTGGAACAGATGGAATATAGTAAAAAATGTATAAATAATCCAAGTGTCACCAATGAGGCGAATCAGTTGGACGTTATATTAAAGTTGCAGGAAAATCCCCATTTAAGTGTACGACAAATTCGAGTAGAAACTGATATATGCAGAACTTCTGTCCAAAGGAAAGTGAGCGAAGACACTACTTTTCTGGATAAGGTTCATTTCAGCGATGAGGCAAGTTTTAACAGCATAGGTGTGCATAACATGCACTATTATGCGACGGAAAATCCTTACTGGGTTAGGCAAATAGATTTCCAATATAAATGGAGCTTGAATGTTTGGGGAGAAGTTATTGGCAGACAAGTTATCGGGCCTTTCTTTTTCGACAACAGATTAACAGGTACAGAATACTTGAATTTTTTTATCGAGCATTTGCTTTTGCTCTTGGAGGATCTCAACCTGAAAACTCGGATGCATATGTACTTCCAACATGACGGCGCACCTGCTCATTATCATAATCGTGTGCAAACTATTTGGACACCTGGTGTAACAATCATTGGATCGCTTGTGATGGGCCTATATCTTGGCCCCGTAGATCACCAGATATGACACCGATGGACTTCTTTCTATGGGGCTACGTTAGGCAAGAGGCTTATAGATATCCACCATCTACCCCGGAAAATATGGAGGCAAGGATTAAGGATGCTTTTCAGAATATAAGGGAACACATCCTTAGGGATGTGCAAAGGTCATTTATCCAAAGACTACGGCTGTGTATTCAACATGGTGGAGATATTTTCGAGTAGTTTTTGTAGATTTGGTCTTGAGCAGTGATAGTTGTTTGTTTATGTTGTTATAGTTGTTTTTCTCTATTACTCTTGGAGCTTTATATACTGTTCTGATTTTTATTAGTATTTACGTCACATCTGTACTCTTAGTGGCAATATGGAACTAGCACACTGTTTTAACTACCACGAAGGCCTAAGGCCTAAACACCCATTGGGTACCGTGGGGCTATGTTTGTCTATTGTTTCCATGGATGATGTGATTTTTTCCTTAAATGTGGTGTGTTATTCTATTAAAAGCTTAAAAATTGAATCCACACTTGCACAAATATACAGTGTAATCGATTTGAAATTTTTGAGTAAAAGTACAATTCGCGTTTTTGACCACCCCGTATGAGCAAAAATTGATATTCGAAAAAGTAACAAATAAGATGAAGGCTGAGGTGTGTAAGTTTTTTTTATACAAAATTCAGCACTCCAAATTTTAAAATGGCGGATTGAGGGGTTGCCGAAGTGGACAGTTTTTCTGGACAAAACATATAACAGTAGTAGTTTACCCAAATATGCAATAAAATTTGAGGCATTCCACTTAAAAAAACACAACTTTGATATGTAGGTCAAAATTGGGTCACCCTGTATAATTGCCAATATTTTAGAAATGCGCCCTCAAATGTCATGTATAACATACACATAAATAGGTTTTCCCAAAATGTATTTGTTTATGAGTAATATTCCGTCCACACATGGATGGGCCACCCTGTATACATGATATACTTTATATAATACTGTTACAAAGGAATATTTACTTCTCTCCAACTGGATTGTATGATGATTTAAAAACTTTACATAGGATGTCTCAAACCGTTTCGAATCAAGTTGTATTTTTTTAAAAGGGACACTATTAAATAGCACTGACATCCTGTATATAAAATAAATATTCCATAAAGTACATAAACTTTTGCATCAGAAATTTTTTCAAAATGTGCATATAAAAAAGTAAGTAGGAAGACAATTTATAAGTGCTCGTTTAACACAAGTTATAACCGGAGGGAAGGCAAGTAACGATATTCTACACAGTGTTTATAAAAATCATAAGAATTTAGGCTTAGTCTTAGATTTACTCAAATTTTCGGACCACTACCTAACTTAGCAAGTACGCAGGCATTGAAAGTATATGTAAACGCAATTAGATGCCACACGTTTTGTCTTTTAGAAAATAAGTAATGTCTGGCAGCCCCGGGACCTTAAACTATTTAGGGTCACATTATAGACATTCCTTAAGGTTTGAGTGCCATTTGACTAACATTCAAAGGAGGATTTCTGAATTTCACAATAGGCTGTAACACTTGTCATCACAGATATTGAAAATTTGGAAAATTTTCGGATTTTTTAAATTTGCACGATTTTCGACATTTAGAAAATTATCAAAACTACCAAAATTTTCGGAATTTTCAAGCTTTTCAAAATTGTAACAATTCCAAAAATTCAATTTACGCAATTTTCGAGATTTTCAAAATTATCAAAACTACCAAAATTTTCGGAATTGTCAAGATTTTCAAAACCTCTAGTTTTTAAGATATACAAGGCTGGCATGTACCTACCACATCTAACAATCTTACAATAACTCACAAAACCGAGATAAGACCAAAAATACATCGACGGACTGCAAGATACTTACTGGATGCAGCTCCAAATTGACTGTGAAGTGTGAATCACCTCTTACGGAGGACGACATCTCGAAATTGTTTATTTTTACTTTAAAAAGACAGATGGTAAGAGACTTTCCGCATTGAACACGTAATATATTCACATTTACGTACACGAGCTACAGCAGAATGCGATAACATAATCAACTTTTCATTTTATTGTGGTTCAAAACAAAGCTCAACTGAATATATTACTCGATACGGAGTGACCGAGTGGACCAACAAAAAAAAAATTCGAGATAAAGTTGATTAATAGCGTTGAAAGTACTCTGCTCGCAGTGGCGCCCCTTGAATATCAGCAATACCTTTGCTTTTCACAGTTACAAACTCATTTACAATAAAACACAAGTTCTTTCTATTTATAGGGGACAATTGGGTTGTTTTTAGTGACAGAAAGCTCAATGTCTATGTTTCCTCATAAAAGACAAAATAGGGTCAAGTAAGTTGACTCTGTACTTCACACGCTACGCTGTCATCAGTTCATAAAGGATTATGTTTGGCACAAGGCAGAGAAAAAAAGGCACCAATATGTAATAAAATTAAATGACCTTCATCCTCTCCCTGAGAGGAGTTTCAACAGGTGCTCATGATCGTTGCGATGACCAGTTCCGCATGAATGACGATATTGGCCTTCACCATATACAGTGCACGCAGTCCACAGCATTGTGGAAGCGATTGCCGACTGTAAATTACGACCACCGACGACGATGCTTGTCCATCAAGGGGTGACGCCGCACATATCGACAGCACAGGAGATATTTCAAAGTTTTGAGGGTAAATCTATGATTAGTGAATTATACCTAATATGTTCGTTGAATTACTGGATTTGGAGGCGTATAGATATAACGGGTGATTTTTTATTTTATTTTATTTTATTTTATTTTATTTTATTTTATTCATTACAACACCCTACAGTAAATACCAATTACAGGGTGAGGAAACACAGAACATAACACAGATATAAAAGACAATAATAAGTAATAAGTAATAGACTACAAAGTGTAAAAGATGCATGCTGGTTACTTAATAGTATTTTTTATGTCTGCAATTCTGCAGTTAAATATATCAATCCTGTTACTTGCAGAATTGTAATTCCTACACATCACATGTAAAGGGGAATAGTGTAAATAATTTGTCCGTGCCGCAGGTAGATAAAACGTAACGTTTTGTCGGGATGAAAGCTTAGGAGAAAGCTAAATCATCACTAGCATTATTGATCAATTTAAATAGAAAAATCACTGACTGGCAAGTGCGCCTTGCTTCAAGACTGCTGATTAGATGTTTTTCAAGTAAGGAATCATGAGGTATACCTATGGGCGGGTAAACGCCATCCACTTTCAGTGACAAATATTTTAAGAAACGTCTTTGAACACATTCAAGCCTACTTATATGAATAATATGATGCGGATTCCAAATTAGCAATGCATACTCAAGCTTCGACCTAACATATGCATAATACAGCAACTTCAAGGTGGTACTCTGAGTGAAGTCACGACAGTTTTTTACAATAAAGCCGTACATGCGGTTTGCCTCGGAAATTTGGCTGTCAATGTGTTTGACGAATGTTAGTTGGGAGTCAAATGTCACGCCTAAGTCACATAAAGTTGAAGTCCTCTGAATAGAGCTACCTGACAGGGTATAGTCAAATAACAGAGGATTTTTCTTCAAAGTGTAAGACATTACGTAACATTTATTGATGTTTAATGACAGATTGTTTTGTGAGCACCAAGCATCCAACCTGACCAGATTTTCTAAAAGTTGATCACAGTCTGATTCATCAACTACACTACAAAACATCTTCAGATCATCAGCGTAAAGTAAACAATTCTCGCCAACAGCATTAACTATGTCATTCACAAATATGACGAACAATAAAGGCCCTAGGTTACTCCGGAATTGGCTACATACTTCGACGATCTGATGCCATTAAACATCACAAATTGATTTCTTCCAGTGAGGTAGGACTTAAATAGTTGTATTAAAGGATCGGATAATCCACGAGATTTCAGCTTATGCAATAGCATCATGTGATCAACTCTGTCGAAAGCCTTGGAGAAGTCTGTGTAGACCACATCTGTTTGTAATCCTCAGTCAATGTTTTCTGCTATGGTCTGTGTGAAGTTCATCAGATTTGATACTGTTGAGCGCCCTTTCATGAAACCTTGTTGTTGAACACATATTTTTCTGCTGACATGATGATATAGTCTGTTATATATTAATATCTCTAGAGCTTTTGAAAAATTGCACAATATTGATATAGGTCTAAAATTTGATACATCATTCCTACTGCCGTTTTTGTGTATTGGACATACTTTAGACAACTTCCATAATTCTGGAATTGTGCAGATGGTAAGGCACAAGTTGAATAAAACGGTCAAAGGACACGCCAACACAGAGGCACAGTCACGCAAAATAAAAGCTGGTACATTATCCGGTCCGGTAGTCATCTTAGGTTTTATTTGCTTCAAGGCTAAGACAACTTCATCCTCCTCAAATCTAGTAATATTGAGTGGTTGTTCATTGCTCATTAAAAAGTCATCAGTTTCTTCGGTGGCAGATGAAGACGTAGTATTGGGAGAAGTTATCCGCAAAAGCATTTAATATGTCGTTCGGTTCCAGAAGTTCATTACCATTGTAAATCATCCTACTTGATAAGTTTGTTGATTTTCGCTTAGAATTTAAGAAGCCCCAAAATTTATTCGAATCTCTTTGTATTTCATTCTCAGCTTGTCTGACATATATTTTGTATGCTTCATCTGAATCTATCTCAATTTTTGATCTAAGTTCCCTGAATGTTTGATACGTTTTAGGATCATTGTTGCGTCTGTAAGATCGGTGAATCTTCTCCTTGCGTTTGATAAGCTTAATTATTGCTGAATTGAACCAGGGTGGGTATTTACGTTTCGTTGCTCGGACATATTTTGGAACACAGGTATCAAAAGCATTGTACAGTTTATTATAAAAGAACTCACACGCTTCATTCGCGTCATGAAAGCCATCTAAAGCAGCCCAATCCATGTCTGAAATTAAATTATATAATTGGGGGAAGTTGGCTTTGCGGAAATTCTAAGAATTTATAAATGAAACCGGAAAATTATGCTTAGTACTGAGACTGCTGTTGACATTACAACAAATATTCAGGGCAGGGTGATATGGGTCTTCATCTAGCAGCGGATCCCACGAATTTTCAACCTCACACAGACCACTACAGATAACTAAATCAAGGGTATTTTCCATAGAATTTGAAATATTGTTAAACTGATTAATAGCACGACCCTCAGCAAAGTTGTTCAACGATACCAATTTTGCGTTGCGTCCATGACTATTAGCATAAGAAGTGTAGTTAGCTATGTTGAAATCCCCTGTTATAACTAAATTCTTATCAAATAGGACGTGCGATGACAAGATAACATCATAAAATTGCTCATATTCAGCATATTAAGAGGTATAGGATTTGATTTTCAAAAAAAAAACACAAACAATTTGAAAAAACGAATAAATCTTTATTTGAGTCGATAGAACGGTCGATATAATTTAATGTTTAAAGATTATTTCATGTAAACGTTGGCCGCGGCTCCGCTTTAGATGGCCCATGCGCAAAGTCCAATTTTGGCACACTCTCTCCAACATATCGGCCAGTGCGTCAATCGTTGCTGGTTTATCCCTGTAGACATTAGCCTTAACATGGCCTCACAAGAAAAAGTCCAACGGCGTTAAATCACACGATCTAGGCGGCCAATAGACTTTCCCCAAACGTGAGATAAACTGTTCACCGAACTCGCCTCTCAATAGGGCCATTGTTTCGTGTGCGGTGTGGCATGTGGCACCGTCTTGTTGAAACCACATGTCAGCCAAGTCCAGCTCTTCCTTTTTGGGCAAAAAGAAGTTTGTTATCATCGCACGGTAGCCCTCGCCATTCACAGTTACGTTCCGGCCATTGTCGTCTTTGAAGAAGTACGGCCCGATGATGCCGCCTGAACATAATCCTCACCAAACAATGATTTTTTCTGGATGCATTGGTAGCTCTCGCAATGCTTCTGGCTGGTCTTCACTCCAGATGCGGCAGTTTTGCTTGTTAACGTACCCATTCAACCAGAAATGAGCTTCGTCGCTGAACACAATTTTTCGATAAAAATGTGGATCTTCCTCCAACTTTGCCAGCGCCCATTCACCAAATTGGAAACGTTGTGGGAGGTCGTGTGGCTTCAATTCTTGCACCAGCTGTATCTTATAAGGTTTTACACCCAAATAATGTCGCAAAATTTTCCTCATAGTGGAGTAACAGAGGCCCAATTATTGCTGCGAACGGCGGCGAATCGACATTTCACGGTCATCACTAACACTGGCGGATACAGCCGCAATATTTTCTTCAGTTCTCACTCTACGTCTGTGTGTTGGTGGTTTAATGTCCAATAGTGTAAACTGGGTTCGAAATTTAGACACAAGCTTCCGAATAGCTCCCTCAGTAGGCCGACCAAATTGCCCATAAATTGGAAGCAGTGCTCGATGCACTCTCTTAACCGAGCATGAATTTTGATAGTAATATTCAATAATTTGCAAGCGTTGTTCGTTCGTAAGTCGATTCATGGTTAAATTATAGACCAAACTGAACAAGTTTGAGAATGACACAAGACACGATTCACGCGTCATCTGTCAAAAACAGTGTTGCCAAAAAGATACTAGCAAAAAAATCACCCACTACTAACGACAAAACGTTGGCATATAACCCGCAATGTTTAACCCGTACAAAACAATTTCTGTAAATGATCGGGATGGTCTGATACGTCAAAAAACGAGGATTTTTAGTTTATTTTCTTTGTTTTTTGACCTTTTTCTCCGCCGCCGCTAGACCGATTTTCAAAAACTAAAAAGCTTCTGCGTCCTGGGCATATTAGTAACATTGTGTGAAAATTTTATCGAAATTCGAGCGGTACTTCTCAAGTTAAAGGCCATTATAAGATTAGCGGACAGACCAACAGACAGAGAGATCCACGGAAATGAGTGACATGCCAGTAGGCGTGGGAAACAA